TAGGGTTGTTATGAAGATTAAGCAGATTTGATGAATGTTTATTAAATGTATAAGTGTTTTGGAGTTTTTTTGTTTTGTTTTAAATTCCTATATAAAGATGACCAGTAAGGGGATCTCAACCCTTCGCTTGGTGTTGTCAGCACCATGCTCAGCCAGTGAAGCCAACTGGCCATCTCTATATAGGATCAGAACCCGTGGCCTTGGTGTTATCAGCACCGCACTCTCCCGAGTGAGCCTTGGGCTGGCCCAACATATAAGTGTTTAATAAATGTAAGTTATTATTTTTTAATTCATTATTACCATCTTATCTGCTACTAAGTCTCATTAATTCATTCTTATCTTTTTCTTTCTTTCTCATTTTGCCACTTTCCTAGTTAAAACTATAATTATCTTGGGGCCGGCCCGGTGGCGCACTGCTACAGTGCGCCGCTTGGGAAGCGCGGTGGTGCTCCCTCCGAGGGTTCGGATCCCACATACAGACCGGTTCCCGCTCACTGGCTGAGCGAGGTGCGGGCGCGACACTGAGGGTTGCGATCCTGTTGCCGGTCCGGTCCGGTACGGGCGTGACAATGAGGGTTGCGATCCGTTGCCGGACACGAAAAAAGACAAAAAAAGGAAAAAAAAAACAAAAAACTATAATTATCTCATATTTGAATTATAGTAACCTCATAACTGGCACTATTTTTGTTTTAAAAGAAAACTTTCTCGTACAAGTCAGTTAAATGTTTATACTCTCTTATATGATGATGATTTTAAGTCAGTTTTTTAGCAATATGTATACATTGCTAAAATTACATTTTAAAAAAATTAAGCATAAAGTTTAGTTCATTTGACCTTTCCTCTAAAGTTCATTGTTCATTTTTCCACTAGGGGGCAAGACAATGTCATGGGAGTTAAATACTGCTTTAGGAAAAATGATCATGTGGTTATTGCTATGCCATATCTGGAGCATGAGTCCTTTTTGGTAGGTTTTAATATTTCTTGAGTTTTTATTAGCTAAACATTTAATTGAAGACAATTTTATGACCTCATTCATAACTTTATTTTAGGACATTTTGAATTCTCTTTCCTTTCAAGAAGTACGGGAATATATGTTTAATCTGTTCAGAGCTTTGAAACGCATTCATCAGTTTGGTATTGTTCACCGTGATGTCAAGCCCAGCAATTTTTTATATAATAGGCGCCTGAAAAAGTGAGTATGAAGAGTTTCCAGAAAATATTTATACTTGAATGAATTTGTGCTATGGAGTCTGTCTCTTAGACATAGAATATACTCCAATAGCCATACACAAATTATTTCTGTTTCAGATTTTCATTGTGATTGGGGAAGGGTAATGCATTGAAGAAGAAGGTAAAATTATATCAGTAAAGCATTGTACATCATGAGATGTACCATGGTTCAGCAGAAATAGCACTTAGCTAAAAGAGACTTAGTAGTCCTTTTTAATCTTACACATGTCTCTCATCTCTGTGCTTCATTTTTCTTTTCTAGTAAATGAGAGGCTCAGACCACATGATAGCCAATTCCTTGTTTTAACACTCAAGTTCTGTTTTTATGTATATTTTTATGCTGATTATTATGTAGAGGCATTATAAGCTGAAAATAACTTAAATACCACTATTTATACAATGAATCATATTAAATATGGTAAGAAGATTAAAACTATACCTTCTTTCTTGGGATATTGAACTCTTGACTTTTCTCTTTAATTTTCTTTAATTAAATCAGATTTTAAAACCGTCATTTTAGTTTATTTTCTTTTAAACTTTTTAAACTAGAAATTATCTGCTATGGTGCTATCTCTGCCCACATCAGAGAACAAAAGTTTGTGCTCATATCATGCATTCTTTTTCTGCCTTGTCAGCACAGGCCATTAAAAAAAGAAAAGATTAATTGATTTATTGTGGGAATTATCTTTCCTTAATTTTCGAGCCTAGTTAGCTATTAAATCCTTACTTTGGACAACTTTTTTTTCCCCCCTGAAATGTTATAAATTCTTAATTGATCTCAAAAGAATTAACAGTTTTTATGGGTATGATTTGAGAGTATTATGGTATTTCTAAGCTTTAATTGTTCCAGAGAAATAAAAATGTTTAATTTTGTTTCTTAGGTACGCCTTGGTAGACTTTGGTTTGGCCCAAGGAACCCATGATACGAAAATAGAGCCTCTCAAATTTGTGCAGTCTGAAGCTCAGCAGGAAAGTTGTTCACAAAACAAATCCCACATAATCACAGGAAACAAGATTTCATTGAGTGGCCCAGCACCTAAGGAGCTGGATCAGCAGTCCGCCACAAAAACTTCTGTTAAAAGACCATACACAAATGCACAGATTCAGATTAAACAAGGAAAAGATGGAAAGGTTCTACCTCTTTTATTTCTTAAGTACTAGCACTGTTTTAGAAATGTACTCCTTCATCCAACAGAGGGTGATATAATACTAGGATAGTACTTGCAATTAAAAAAAAGTTTTTTTTACATTTATTATATGTATCCAGTTGATTAGATTTTCACTAAGACTTGTACTGAGTCATTTTACTTACTGTTTTTAAACAGAAATTTACTTTGTTGATTTATAATGTCTTTATGTATTACAAAATTACATTATATGACAAAAATGGAAATAATAAACTTTCTCTGCATGTTATAAAGTTCAGTTTAATTATCCTTTTTAAAAGAAAGCATTAGTTATAGGGGACTAATTCTGAAGTGTCTATCTCCATTTTAGCTGCACAGCAAATGTAACATCCATGCAGGTGGTTTTTGGATTTTTTTTAGTTATATATATATATATATATATATATATATATACATATACATATATTTGTGGACTATGATAACATTGTATGTGTGTTAAGAGTTCTGTCTAGACTATTTTCTCCTTTCACAGAAGTGTCTGGGTGCCTGAGAATGACTTGGATGCAACTGTTTTTGTTTCATGTCACTTAACTCTTTCAAAGCTATGGCAGAGTACAGCTGGCAGAAAGTGTTACAGATATAATCCTTATTTTCCTTGTTTTTGTTGGTATTGTAGGAGGGATCTGTAGGCCTTTCTGTCCAGCGCTCTGTCTTTGGAGAAAGAAATTTCAATATACACAGCTCCATTTCACATGAGAGCCCTGCAGTGAAAGTAAGTAATGTAGCTTAATAGTGCAATGGTCAGTCAGTCCTACACTGAAGAGAATTTAGGTAATGACTGGATTAGAATTTATTAAGTAGAGTTTGGCTTTAACAGAAGGTATTATGGCTTTGAGCACTTACTCAAAACTTCTATTTTCTTCAGGTTTTTCCTGAACTTTTTTTCTTTTTCCTTGTCCTTTTTGAGACCGGCCGCACCGCGCTCAGCCAGTGAGCGCTGTGAGCGCACCTGTCATCCCTGTATAGGATCCTAACCCGTGGCGGGAGCACCGCTGCACTCCCAGCGCCGCACTCTCCCGAGTGCGCCACGGGCTCGGCCCTTCCTGAACTTTTCTAATGGAATTTTTCGTCATTTTTGGTTAGCTGACTATTGTTGCTCTTTCTCTAGAAGAACATTTAGAACATTAGGGTCTCTTCTGTCATCATTCCTAGAATGTGAGCTCCCACTCCCAACACCTTACATAGTTCTTACACATAGCTGATAGAGTACAGACGTTTGTAAAGTTAAAATTGTCAATGTTAGATGATTTTAAATTGACTTATGATATCCTGTGAAAGTTAAACAGCATGAGCAACAAATTAAAACTCAGACTTTAGCCAGTGTAATTGTGCAGTTTATGGTTCTGAAATGGAGTTAGACACTAGAATGTAACATTTATACTTTTGTAATATATCAAGAAAGGTTCTAATAAAGTGTAAGTCAAATATTTACCAAATTAGGACTAAGTAAATTTTAATATAATTTTATTTGACAGAAAAACCCAAGAAAACCTTAAATATTTTAGTAGACAACTGTTTATTTACTATCCAATATGATATTTAGCAGTGTTTATACTTTGCTATTGCTTTTTGCCATACTAGCATTTGAAGAAATCATATTAGATGTCATGATAATAGAAAATATGACTTTTCTTTTACAGCTCATGAAGCACTCAAAGACTGCAGATGTAGTATCAAGAAAGTTAGCAACAAAAAAGGTTATTTCTACAAAAGTAATGAATAGTGGTGTGATGAGAAAAACTGCCGGTTCTTGCCCAGCTAGCCTGACCTGTGACTGCTATGCAACAGATAAAGTTTGCAGTATTTGCCTTTCAAGGTAAGGATGTTGCTATAAAATCACCAGTATGCTGTCAGACAAGATTAGAAATTACATTGATTTTGGTGGGCAATTGATTTAGGGAGTGAAAGGGAAAAACACAGATCTGTGAACTATACAAGCATTGAAGCAGATCAGTACATTGAAGAGTAAATGGTATGCATATTCTCTTTGGAAAACATATTTGCTGTTCTGTGCAGATAACTTGGGAGGACGGCGCAGAGAATAGTTTTATTAAAAGATTAGAATTGCACATTTTGCTTGCCGATGTACTGTTTTCTATGTTCTCTCTTTATTCCTGCCTATGTGGAATAAAGTAATAGAGCTCCTCTCCTACTCCTACCTCCAATTCTTTGCCTCATAACTTTTTTCCTTCAAGACTTGGCTTTCACAAAACCTTTCCAGATTAACTCAAAAATATAAGTAAATAAATATATCAGTAATCATCCCAAACAGAAATTAATTTTATGCAAATTCCTGTTGTGCTCTGTTTTTCTATTATGGATTCTATCATCTACCATCTTTGTATGTTTAAAAGTTAGCTTAAAACCTTTCTAGAGTAAGGCCAGAGAACGAGTAGTGGGAAAAAAAACCCCAATAGAAGCAAAATACAGGATGTTCATCACAGTAGATTATCATTTGCTTTATAATTTTTATTTATATAAATATCAAGGCAAAGATTATTTTGTACTAAATTGATAAATGTTGTTTTTTGGACTTAAATAGTTCGACTTTAACATAACTAGAGAAATCTCATTTCTTCATCATAGGCGTCAGCAGGTTGCTCCTAGGGCAGGTACACCAGGGTTCAGAGCACCAGAGGTCTTGACAAAGTGCCCCAATCAAACTACAGGTATGTCGCACTGGAAGTACAGAACCCAATTCAAATGGATGGTCTCAGATTTATTTTATGGTCTTTATCTTTTTACGACTAATATTTGAGCACAATTTTAGCAGCATGGCATTCCCATTTTGGGGATAATGCTATTTATGAAAGTTTCTAATGCTAGTGTTGCTTTTTTTTTTTTTTTTTTTTTGGCAATTTTTTCAATAGATTACATTTTGCTTATCCATTTACAAGATGATTTTGTCAGAGATTTTAACATCATCTTCGTGAGCGGGGGTGGGGGGAGTTATGTTTTGTAGTTTTGCCAACTAAAGACTTGCAGCATTTCATCTGTTTGCCTAATATCTCAAAAGTTTTCTGTGCTGCAGATATAATTGTGTTTGAAAATTATTTTGAAAACAATATAATTGTAGTTAAAAGATTTTTAAAAAGAAAAAGAAGTCTTCTATAATCTAAAAAGTTGTTATGGAGCCAGAAACCCGGAAATATCCTGTTGAATGAATAGGTGAATGCTTCTGTTCAGTTGGATTATGAGCTTTGAAGAAATACATTCATTGTCTGTCTGTTCTCAGCTCACTAATGATGCAAAAATGAATGAGACCATCTGCTCACACTATTTAAGACATACTCTCAAATAATTATAAAATAACCTATTGAGTATGGTGGTAAAACTATACAGTGTATGTGAGGGGTATCTAACTTTCCTAACCAGAAGGGATTATGGAAGGTAGTTCATGGGAGAGATGACCTCTGAGATTAGAATGTAAATTAGGAAGGGGATTAGCATTGAGGCATGAGCTGAGGAGCTCAAGAAACAACATAGTCTAGTCACACTGGAAACTATAAAAGTTTAGTGTTGCTAGAATAAAATGCAAGTCAAAGAATGGTGAGAAATAAACTTGGAAAGAGGAGGACAAGATCAGATCACACTTGCTAAACAGCTTGGATTGTATACTGTAGATGTTGGAAAGTTATTCAAGGCAAAGCTATGGTAATATTGTATTCTAGTAGGTTCATTCTGGGAGGTGTGCAGAGAGGATAGATTTTGGAGACTCGCAGCCTACAGTGTCAGGGTGAGAGACAATGAAAGCATGAATGAGGGCATTGATAACAGGAATGAAAAGAAAGGTAAAGGTTTGGAAAGGCAGAGCTTGGTGAGTAATTGGATGTGGAATTTTGGTGTGGGATGGTGAAGGAAAATGACATCTAGTTTACGAGATTCTTATCTTGAGGGACTTAGATGTGTACCAGTAACCAAGGTGTAGAATAAAAGAGATGTAACTGGTTTGTAGAGAAAGGTAAGGTTGGTTTGGGGCAAAATTGGTTTGAGATATTTGTGGGACTTCCAGGCAGAGATGTTCAGCAAAATAAAAGTAAAATCTAAATCACAGGGAAGGAGCTGGGCTGGAAATACAGTTGTGTGTCATCATTATATAAATGGTAGTTGAAGCTGTGAAGTGGATGGACCATTCAGTGAGACCATACAGTGGATAGAGGCTGGAATTCTAAGGAACCTCAGCACTTGAGAAGGACTTGGAGAAAACATTGAAGGAGCAGTTTTTTACAAAGGGAACTAAGACAAGTGATTGAGTGGCCAAGGGAATAGAGAGCAAATAACTTGTTGATACGAGGAGTTTGACAATTAGGAGAGGACATGTCCGTAAAAGAAAAAATGAGCTTCTTAACATGAGGCTGAGCTGAATGTTAACTGTCAGAATTCTGGAGATTAAAATTTCTATAACAGTAGTTGGTGTTAGTATCTGGCTGAAGAAGAGGTTCTAATGTTCAATATTTTTCACTAAAATGAAAATATTTTTGCTACTAGCGTGTATTTCTCAAGGAGCATCCAGATTTTTTTTCCCACATAGCTATTTTTGGATTTCTTTTGATCTTATAAAATGTGCATTTACTTAGTGTTTTCTGATAGTGCAATGTCCTTTTAAACTTACCAACGTGTTGTTCAAGACAGGAAACATTATATTTTGTAGTAAGGATATTGAATCAGGGATTCTTGATCCTACCTGTACATTAAAGTCACCAGAGGAACTTTTAAAAAATATCTGCTCCAGAACTAGGCAATCAGAATCTCTGAGGAATTGGGCCTGGGCCTGGGCCTCCAAATTTATTAAGACTCCCAAGATGATGCTAATGCACAGTAAAGATCAACAACTACTGGTTTAGATGATAAAATTATAAATTTGGAATCTGTTTTTTTAAAGTTTGTTTTCTATTACAGCAATTGACATGTGGTCTGCAGGTGTCATATTCCTTTCTTTGCTTAGTGGACGATATCCATTTTATAAAGCAAGTGATGACTTAACTGCTTTGGCTCAAATTATGACAATTCGGGGATCCAGGGAAACTATCCAAGCTGCTAAAACTTTTGGTAAGCAGTTTTATATTATAGAACAAAAGAAATGCCTTTTATTATCTCTTAAAAATCACTTAATAAATTATTATGAAATTCTCTTTATAAACATATTCAATGTTCATAAAGTTCTCTAATCTTAGGTAGAAGTTTTTCTCAGTTGCTTTAGAATAAAGTACATTCTTGTAAGAAAATAATTTATCATCACTTCTCCATATTTGTAATTATTTAGTGTTAAGCACAAAGTATTACACTGGTCCAGTACTTAAAGCTCAACTTTATAATCTTAAACAAAAGAGTAAGGAATAAAATCTTAACTCCCTTTAGTTGTGGTTTGACTTTTATTACATAAATATTTTTAATAATATATTTTAATTTTCTTACTGTATATTAAGCATCAGGAGCTCTACTTAGTACTGAAAATGTCCTTTCCTTAAATGATCTTGGTCTAAAGTAACAAACAGTTAATTAGGAAGAGAATAGAAATGTCTGTGGTTAGGGTAGCAGAGAAGTAAAATGAAAAGCACACATTTACTTTTGGAATATTAGGATTAGTGTAGCCGAGAAGTGAAATGAATAGAATACATTTACTTTTGGAGTATTATTGTAAGCATATATTGGACATGGGCAATTATCTTCATAGCCATATAAGTTCTTCAAGACTGGGATATGCCTTGTACTTAATAGGGTACCTGAGAATTATCTCAGCCTTGCTCTGACCAACAGCCTGAACTCGAGTCCACCTTGTGTTTATTCTCCAAGCACAATTATAAATACTTTCCAAGGGATGGGTATGATTGAATCAGTTTTCTACCACACAATATGGAACTTTCCTATGGGACAAAATCAGCCTACCCAAAGAGTAGTTGGGCTGCCTTGTGCTCAGCCTCAGCATCAGTGGGTCTTAACCTGGGGTGATAGCAGAAGTATCTGAGAATCTTCAAGAAATACACATGCCTGCCCCATTCCTAGAAAATATAATTCAGAAAAATACGATAGTTAGGAAGGCTCCAAGCTTGTTACTTTGAAAAGATAAATGATTTTGACAAGAACCGCTGCTTAGGCACCAGTGCTGTGGTCTAATCCACAAGAAAAACTTAGTGGTGGTTGTGAAGAAAGCCTCCTAATACAGGCTTGCAAAAGAATGTTTCTGCAGCAAAGTCAATCCACAACTTGTACCTATCTTGTACCTGTTATAAAAAAATTTTGTTTGAGGAGGATGAAATAATAATACAAAGGAAAAGTGACCATGAATGGAAAGCAAGATTGATGTCTTGGGAATGGTATTCTTAACATAATAATAAACATAACATGACTATGTTTATTCTCAACTAATTGAAACTTTCATCTACTATTAAATAACTTTAAGGGAAGTTTATGAACAAGAAGTTCATCAGTCAACACTAAAACATTTTATTGATAAGCTTTAATCTCCCCTTTTGGGGAGTTATGAGGGCCAACAATGGAAGTACAACATCTGACAAAAATATTCCATGGCAAGTGCCGTGATAACAGGCAAGGGCATTTAGAGATTTACCATTGTAATGCTTGTTCTTATATTTTAAAAATAATAATTCTATATAGCACTTTTCTCAGTTTTATTAGTATGACTTCTGTAGTTTCAGTCAGATCTTACTATAACTTTGGGCTGAGTACAGAAGACTCAAAACCTCAACAGATATAAGTACGTTCCCCTTTATAACCTAAAGAAGTGACTTGCCTGAAATTAGCAGTGAGAGCATGTGTGCTTCTCTTGTGTGTAACCTGTCCCACTGTCCTCAACCCTTAGACCTGGCCCAATTGTAGGTTGTCATTAAGTACTTGTTGAATTGTGCTAAATAAATTCAAAATAAAAACCTTGAGCTAAAACAAATTCCTGACACACAGAAGTCTGTAATAACGCTTTGATTGAATGCGTTAGTTTAAATTATTTTCCCTGAATATTTTAAATGAACCCTGTCTTTGGTCATGTAAAAAAATAACTTGGGCATATTGTGTAGCTTGTGGACATGCTATAATATATACTGATAATTATTTCATGACTTTAGAGCAAGCTAATAAATTAATGAATAAAACTTTATGACTATTCTCTGGCTACAATTTCCTAAAGAGAATAGGAATGATAGAATAGATTTAAAAGTTAGAGAGGATTGGCATGATGTATCATCATCAAACTTGGTTTTTGATAATTTGTTACCTGCCTTAGTACACCAGTCCAGTAGTTAGATCAGAATACGTAAAGGTAACTTTTTATTATCTAGAGCTAGGTTAATTGCTTGGTTGACAATCTGCATACCCCAGAAGGGAATCTGAATGTGTTGTGCTACTCATTGTTCATAGCCACATTTATGTTTAATAAGGAAATCTAAGGCAAAGATAATACATGATTACCTATTCGTGCATTTAACTTATTTTTTCCATGTTTGATAATAAACTTGTCAAGAAGTTATTTCAAAAACATTTATATTTTTAAAAACTGAGATCTGGTTTGCTTTTTAATTTATTCAGAAACATCGGGGCTTCTTGTGTACCATATGTGTACTATTGTGAGTCTCTGCTCTTGTAGAGCTTAAATTCTAGTGAGGGAGAAAAAAATAAATGTGTACTTTCAGACAGAGATGAGTAGTTATTGAGAAAGATAAAAGGAGAAAGGGGTGAAGAGGGCTCAGCTATTTAAGATACATTGGTCAAGAACAGCATCTCTAAGGATGTGACATTTGAACAGAGATGTTCAAATGAATAATTTCTTTTTGTCCAGTCCAACAAATACTAATTGAGCACCTAATATATACCACGCATTGTCTAGGATTTGGGAGTTCAAAGATGAATAAGATGGGCCCTATCTTCAAAGAGCTCACAGTCTAGGAGGTGAGACAGATAAACATTTTATCAGGTACAAAATAGAGTAGCAAAAGTAATAGTGGAACTCATCCCAGGATACAGCACAGCACAGCTTAAAATAATCAGTTGTTTCTGAGAGTGTCAGGCCTCACAGATGTGATTCTCAAGCTTAGTGGCAATGTAAGTGGAGGTATCTTGGGTACACAAAGGGTATGGGGCATTCTAGGCAAAAACAAGAGCCATGTAGTCAAAGCCATAGAGGCCTGGAAGAGGGTGTGGTGGGTGGGAGCCGCAGCTGGTTAGAGATTACAGAAAGATAAGATGAAGCTGGAGAAGTTGGCGGAGTCAGGTGAGTGCCTGGCATAGCGTAGTAAGTCACTGTTTCTATGTACTATCTCCCAATTTTTGGTTTGGCTTTCAACCGTGTAGTTCAAACACAGCTTAAATACAGCATGTGGTGCTCTATCTTATATTCAGAGTGTGTATCTATATATATCATGAATCACATGGTTGGACTTGTGTGTATCTCATGAGAGAGGCTTCTGATATATTCAAATGATATAATATATGTATTTTTTTTTGTTTTAGGCAAATCAGTATTATGTAGCAAAGAAGTCCCAGCACAAGACTTGAGAAAACTCTGTGAGAGACTCAGGGGTATAGATTCTAACACTCCCAAATTGACAAGTGATATACAAGGACCTGCTTCTCATGACCCAACTTTTTCAGAGAAGACTGACCATAAAGCTTCTCACAACATACAAACACCTCAAGTACAACACTCAGGGAATTCATTATATGAAGGGGACAGTAATGGCTGTGGAAGTCGTTTTGATGAGTATATTGCTAGTTTAAAAGGCTGGGCTGAGGTACCTGATGAAGCTTATGACCTGCTTGATAAACTTCTAGATCTGAATCCAGCTTCAAGAATAACAGCAGAAGAAGCTTTGTTGCATCCATTTTTTAAAGACATGAGCTTATGATTATTGTTCTTCATTTAATGTTTACTGTTTTGTATTGTGAGGTGGAGTAAAAAGCGTTTTTTGTAACAGCTGTAAGTTCTTGTTTAGAGACCAGGGCAGGATGAGTAATTTATTTTAAAATCTTAGTATTTGCTCTGGTGGCAGATTCTAAAATATACGAGGGTAATTCAGAAAGTTTGTGGAAAAATAAAATTGAAAGATCATACAAATCTTTCCACAAACTTTTTGAAGTACCGTCGTAGATTAAGCTTACTTAAAGTGGCAGGGATAGTTCTTTGGACTAACAATGTGATCTTTGAGTTAAACCCACACAAATAGAATCAGATTTTTAGTTTCCCTAATTACTTTTTACTGCCATATGCAGAAAAAGGAGCAGTTTTAGCCCAGTACATAAGGGTTCAAAGTACAGGTCTTAAAATTAATGGATGTGATAGGAACTAAATGAATCCAAAGACTTAGTTTACTGATTTCTTAGCACTATGAGCTCTTTTCTTTGTTCTTTTGGAAAATTCAATCTGGTGAAGGTGCTCTAACAATTTTGTAGGTAAAGAAATAATTTTCTAGATGTATGTATTATACCTTTTATAAACACTAAAATAATTAATGAGGAAGTATGAGTCATGGGGTAAAATATTACTTAAAATTGAACTTATCTATTTTTAAAAAGTATTTCATGGAAGCATTTTTGTGTGAATTGCCATGTTTTTCTTAAGGGTTTCTCTTGGTTTTTCTTCCTTCTCTGCCCCCACATAACACATTCTCCTTGGAAATTATATGGTGCTTACCACAAAGTTTCTGGGTGCTTTATTAAATTTTGCATGTGTTTATAGTTGGGAACTTAAAATAATGCATATACTGGTTGATAAGGGGAAGCTGCAGGACCAAAGTGAAGATTGATAGTCCAAAATGCTTTTCTTATTTTCTTTTGAGTGTGTATGTTTTTTCACATTATCTTAGGTATAATTATGTAGCTGCTAAAAGGAAAAGTGAACACAGAATTGGGAATGTTATTGGAGATTTATTCTCTGCCTAGAGCCATCCAATTCTGTATGTACTGTTTTGACTAAGTTGGTCCTGCTCAGAAAAGAATGATTACTGGAGTCTTAGGTGGGTTGGAAAGAGAGAGAATGAAGTGGGCATAGCAGAAAAGGACCTAAGAGAGGTTTATGTTATTAACATTCCAAGATGATATATATATGAATGACAGCCTGACACACTTTCTATTGGAAATAAGTCTGGGGAGATGAATCTGCTGAGAAGTTTCTCCTAGCTTAGGGACATACATTCATTTTGTTATTTTGAGTATTGATAACTCAGTATGTCTACCTAATCTGGTAAATACGATGGAGTGTGTATATACACATGCACACATACACACCATGACCGTTGATCTGCTCTCTTATACTTTAACCTTTTTTAAAAAAAAATTGATGTTCTTGAATTTGTATGTTTAATAAAGTTATCCTTTTATGTTTTTTATGTCACATTACTCATTTGAAAAATAATAGCTTTTTAAAAAATATTGACCGCTGGGAGTATTTTCCTTCTGAGATTAATGAATATTCTTTCTTCAGCAAATGGTGGGTAGTAGGTTAACAAATATTGACCTGGCTAAAGTATTACATGAAACATAGGAGTAGATTTTTGTGTAGAAAAGGTGTTCATTGACTTAATATATAGGATATTTGTTACAAATAGTAGAACAGTAAACCCTTTCAGCAACCAAAATGAAGTGTTTACTCAGCTAAAATTTTTGACTCTCAATCAAGATAGCATATCCTCATAAAATTAAGAGGAAGAAAAATTTAACTACCAAAAGGGCAGAGAGGAGGACTTTCCCTAACAAAGTTTAAAATGCAGACCTGCTGTTTTAACTATCTGTTATTGTCATTTTTAGGACAGAACAGGGGGTGAGGTGTGGGGAGGATAAAGGGAGCTAATTTTAAAAGATGTCTAATGTTACAAATTAATAATTCCCAGGGAATTTCAATCCCACTGTAGAATGTTGCCTCAATTTGGGGCTAGTATTCCCAATGTGCTGGGTCAGAATTAGCAAGGAGCTTTCATATATGCACATTCTTTAGGTTTTTAAGCCTTCTGAACACCATTTTTTAATGACATCTATGGGAAAGATTTTAATCAGGCAAAATAGTTACTTCTAGGGAAAGATTAAGAAGGTAACTAATTAATGCCATTTCCTATTATGGAATTTCCCAGAGTATTCAGCAATTATTTACTGTCAGCTTTTTAAAATTCGTATTGCTCGGACTCTTAAGATAAAACTGTTAAGGGGATTTTTACTTAATAAACCTTAGACATTTAGAACTGTTAATCATTAACAAGCTACAAGTATTGGTTTCTGAAAAAGGATGCAGCTCTCTAGCATTTTTAATGAAACTTTTCTTTATAAGGAGATAATTATGATTGTCTTAATGACCTAAATGAAAATGTGGCTCAAGAATGGTTATTCCAAAGAATAAAAGTTTCACAATCTGAACCAAAGTCAAGTGATGTTAATACCTTACTGTTTCTGGCATCAGCATTTTAGGGGCAAAGTGGTGTTACAGATGTCAGAATACTGATTGCATAAAATCTTGAAACCCACAAAACTCATAGGCTTAAGTTTTAGTAATTTCTCTTGTTTATGTAATTTCAGCCCCACACGTCACCGAAAAGTTATTTATCTTAAGAAACTGGCCAAATTTGGCGGGTAATGCTGTCTGCCAGTGTCTGCAGATGTATTGTTTCCGCCTACATTTGTGCGTGTTGTCTGTGGTCTTTAAAGAACGCTATCTATCACCAGACAGAAATGTCAACTCTTCTGTTCAAATTTTTTCCTATGTTCTTAGAACTGGTATTGCTGTTTCCAGTTTCATCACATTATGTCTGAACTGTCTTCCTTTCTTGAAAGGTGGATATTATCAACCAAGTACAACATATGTAATCAGAAGTAGTTAATGCTATGTGAAATTACAGAAATGTTTTTAACAAAGTAACCACAAAGATCAGTGCTAAGATGAGTAGTAAATAATGATGTTTTAGATATCTAAAGTGAAAAAGCATGATTTTAGGAAAGCAATTGCAAATTGGATGAGAAAATTATAAAAGTGAAGTTCAGGAAAGTAATTGCAACATAATTTAAGAGCTTAATTTGACCTCGTTTTTTCCTCAATAGAAGAAAGGATAATATTGTCCTTTACTTGTGTTGAGTGCTTTAGAAAATTAACAATATATGGAAAAGGATGAGTGAAATAAGTTATTTGGAGAGTGTGTATGGGTACAGAGCTTTTATAAGCCAATGAAGGTGACTAGAAAACATGTAGATGGTTTAGAATTTCTAAGTATACACCATGTGCAAAATATCTTTTTGAATTGAACACGTCATGTTCTATCCTGTAAGCAGATTCCATCTTGGACCCTACTGAAGCAGTTCTTTAAGGAAAGTAACAGGTTTAGTACTAGAAAATCCTAACATATGTAGGAAAATAAGGAATAAATAGCTTCTAGATTCATCTCTAGTTTTAGATTTAGAGAATGTCAGAGTCACTGGTAGGGAACCAAGAAGATGGGCTTCTGACATCTTGAAGTCAGAAGAGTAATAACTGGACACTGTCAGCTGTGGGGTGAGTAGCACAAATCAGAAAATGAAAGAATCATGGAATTTCTTTCTAATCAGAATTTTTGCATATATTCCTTATCTACATTCTATTGATGGTGTGTTTTTGTATGTGTATTTAATTATATATTCACCCTTTGTGTAAATTCCTTTCGTAACTTTTCTGAAGACTAGCATGTGATTTAGAAATGACTCCAACTAGGACAAGACCAAGAAAGTAAATCAGAAACAGATGTGTGGCTCTGTAACCTCACGTTATTCTAGCTCTGTCCTTAAGAAAGAACGGGGCTGGGGAATCCAGCCATCTCCAAATTTCTCTAAATACTCACTTTAATGCTTTTTTACCCAGTAGAAATATCTTTATTTTTTCCGGCATATTGCTGATCACCATCTTCCTACTCTCAAATGCTCTGATTAAAAACAAAACCAGTCACTGTATATGTATGTATATGAGTAATTTTTAGACAAGTATTAGCAATGCTCCTTTAAAATACACTTTTCCCCAAAGTTTGTGAAATGAATCTTGGTGTTCTGTGCGTTTTGATTTATTTTAAATCTCTATAAGTAAATGGCCTTATCAAATGTGTACTCATAAAAAGGAAACTTACCATGTTTATGCTCTAAAAACACCAGCATCTTATATCTCTGTTGTTTTTTAAGAGGAAGAATCTTTCTTGTTTGCCTCTATGCAATGTGACTACACTAGTGTCTAGCATTTATTGAATTGGGTGCTCAATAAGTATTTGTTGAGTGAACGCATTGGAGTTACATTTAATTAATTTGTTTTCTTGGCAGAATATTAAGCCCAAAGCTCTCTTAACAAGGGTAACTCCCTAAGTTTGGTACAATTTATTTGATTGGGAGTGACATCAAATGGTAAGAAAAGTGAAATGTCTCATTCCTTCTACATAATTTCTTCCTACTAGACCACCCCTCTTACCCATAAAAATGTAATTTAATTTTTTTTTTTTTTTGGCAGGTGGCCAGTATGGAGATCAAACCTTTGACCTTGGTGTTATAACACTGCACTGTAACCAACTGAGCTAATCAGCTAGTCTTATAAAAATGTGATTTAAATGAAAGCAAGATTCTAATGCCATGCTTTAGATTCAGAGTAGCCCCAAATGGGTCTTTGGACTTTGTAGTTGCCATTACATGGAATGCCTTTCCTTCCAATCTGTGTATCCCATACACATTATCAGGCCATCAGAAGTCCCACTCTTCTACAAAGCCTTCCCTGATCACTCCAGTCCAAATGATCTTTTCTTTGACTTCCTATGTACAGATTATAAGCTTTTCAACGGTAGAGACTATCTTATATCCTTTCATATTTCCTATCACTGCATTAGAGACTCAGGTACTCGGTCAAAACTTTGGGGTTAACTAGGAACTTGAAACCAGCATATATTTCTTAGCCCCATCATAATAATCCTGGCTTAAGGACCACTGCTTTAATTCTGAAGTATCTGAAGGATTATAGTGTTTTCCCTTGATGATCTGTCCTAAGGCTTCTCAGCATCCTTACCCCCATTGCATCCATCTCAGTTCTAGTTTCTCTCCACTCCATTTCCATTGCTTTGACCTCAGTGGAGACAGAATAGCTGGTGGATCTTTTTATCTGTAATAGCCCTTCACATCCTTGTATAAGAGGCGGGTGAGCAAAAATTTCATAATTCTCTATTGTAGTCATGTTTTTCTCTTACTGTGTGCCCAGCACCATAACTAAATCAAAATAATCAATTTAAGGACTTGTAAATATGTTTACAGGAAGGCATAATGTACACAATTATGCTTTATTAATGTGATTCATCTTCATGCATGTAGTATCCTATTCATCCTGGATTTTTCTGAGATAGCTTCAATTTCAAAAATGTCAATCAATTTCAAAAATTTAGTGTATTCTGAGAATTCCAACATTTTTTCATCCAAATTGGATATCTAAGAATCTCTCAACTGAAGTAGCATGAAATTGTTAGAAATGCATTCCAGTTTTTTAGCTTTGGAAACATGTTCATTATAACTTATGTCATCTGAGGTTATTTCTACTTTGGGGACTAGCTGATGTAAGTTAAATAGAGATTCTTCCAATGTCTTGAGCACCAAGTAGGGCCTTATGTGTTTTCACTGAGGTCTCACATTTAAAAGTATAGATGTCAAAATGGGAACATTTTAATGCTTCCTTACCCTTTGTTGATTAAAAATTATACCTTGACTGGAGGCAGCATAAATGAGTCAGCCAAAGCCAGCTTTTCCCTGTGCTTTGAGTTTGGGTTTCCTCAACTACAAAATGGGGTTTATACCCCTACCTCACCGTTTGGAGGGATAGGTGATAGTATGCTTGCTAAATACAATGCCGAAACAAGTACGTAATTGTTTCCTTTCCTTCCTTCCTTTCTTCCCTGGGATTCTTTTCATCTCCCCATACCTGGGAGCATTGCCTGAGGATATTCTTACATATTCTTCCTTAACCTTTTTTTTTTTTTAAAGCACATCAGAGCTTTTAAACCATCAGAATGGAAAATTGCCATAATCTGGGATGTTGTAAACCTGACATAGAATTGCTTATTTTCTATGCATCGTGATGTCCTCTCTGTCCACCAGATGGCAGGAGTTCCTTTGGCATGTTCTATGAGGATGCTGCCCAGAGGCGTTTGGACTAGTGTATTAGTAAGGCTACTAAAATAGAAAAGAAGGTACACAAACAAAAAACTGGATTTTTCACTATTAAAACAGTACCAGGCAATGGGGAAGCAAGTGATCATCTATTACCCCCTCATCTTTTCCAGCGACAAACTTCTCATATCTACTACGTCTTCTCTTCTGGGTTCTTGCATATCCTGTTTCCTCTGCCTGGAGCACTTCTCCACCAAACC